TATAATTTTATTTATTTAAAAATTAATTGTATATTTTTAATAAATTAATATTAAATTTTTTAAAAAATATATTTAAGACTTTAGGTAATTTTATAACGCCAAAGCCCTATTTTCACCTTCCATTTAATTCTTTTCCGTGGTCAACACCTTCCAAAATTTTTTCTTCCTATTCACATCCTTAATTTTTCAAAACCCGTAAAAAACTCAATATTTTAATGTGTCGTTACGGAACCGTTAATAATCGTTAAAAATTGTAATACATGGCATCAAACAGTAACATAATCGTTATGTCATCTTATTAATCCAACGTGAACTTTTTTTTTATGATGTGGCATAATTAAATCATAATTAATTTTAATTTCTTCATTTTCTTTTTTTCCGACATCATCTTTATCATCTTCCTCTTCATCCTCCTGAGTTCCTAGTTCCATAAGGAACTCAGGACGTTATGTCACATTTATTAATCCAATGTGGACTCTCTTTTTTTATAATATGTTATAATTAAATCATAATTAATTTTAATTTCTTTATTTTCTTCTTTCCTAGCATCATCTTCACCATCCTCATCCTCGTCCTCATCCTCTTGGGTTCCTCGCGGAACCTGGGTTCTAAGTTCCTCACGGAACCTGGGTTCTGAGTTCCTCATAGAACCAATTTCACATGAATGCTTACTAAGCTAAGATCTTCATCCACATAATTATAAGTAAATAAATACTGTACAAAAACATGATATGCATCTTCTACCCCTTTCCCACAAAAAACGAAAAAGCCGTTATTGCCATTCATGTTAATCCCACTTAAACTCAAATTGGCAACCTATTCAGAAACAATTTCCAAGCAAAAAAACTCACCTTTCCAATAAAAAAATTATTTCAAATTGCTTTGCATAAAATAGGAAACTAAGATAAATACATTCAAAATAAAAAAATAAAAAAAAAAGGTCGAAAAACCCAGATTTGGGTTCCACGCAAGAACCCAAAAACTAGGTTCCCTGCGAGGAACCCATTGAGAAGAGGATGGTGAAGATGATGCCAAGGATGGGGGGGAAAGAAAAAAAATGAAGAAATGCTGCATCATCAGAAAAAAGAAAAAAGTCCAGGTGACATATTTATGTTACTGTTTGGTATCACACATAATATAATTTTCTGTTGGTTTCACTGTACATGTGGCATCCACGTGTGTAAAAAATAAGCCACATCATCAACAAAAGGGATTTACATTGGATTACTAACGTTACATAATGTCACATCAATTTTTGGATGCCACGTAATGCAATTTTTAACAGTTTTGTGATGGCGCGTTAAAATATAAAGTTTTTTATAGGTTTTGAAAAGTTGAGGGTGTGAATAAAAAAAAAAATTTTGGAAGGTGTGGACCACTAAAAAAAAAAAAACTTAAATGAAAGATGCAAATATGAGCTTTGGCCATTTTACAAATACTCCTTCGCTTTTTATTAGGACATGAAAAACACGTTGCTCTCAACCTTATTGAAATTTTAAAGGTTAAATGTCAATTTTGGTCCCTCAACTTAAGTTTTTACACAATTTTTATCTCTAAACTTTTTTTACACTTTTTTAATCCTTTAATTATAAAAAATGCATTTTCTTAGTCATTTTGTCAGTTAATCTATTAAATTTATTTGAATTTATACATTTTAAATCCCTCAATTTTAAATATATGTACATTTTTCATCTCTCAACTTTAAGTTGAGATGAAAA